CTGCCTCTTCCTCTCTCTATTATTAAAGGAAGAAATGCCCCTGGAAAGCCAATGAGAGAGGTTAGTGAGACTTGGGCTCACAGCCATGGCTTCTGTCTGTGTCATCCTGCTTTCTGTGTCTGGCCTTTGTGTAATAACTGTGTGTGTGCACGCGCATGTGTGTATTATACATTCTGTCATCATCTGAAGATGGGAGTGGCCTCTCCACTTACAGCCCATGAGGAGCTTTCCTCAAATGTTCATTGTCGTTGTCATTTCCATGACAACAGCAAGGGTTGGGGGAATAGGAGTCTCTCAAACATGGCAATCCTTTCTAGTCCCGAGGATGGAACCTTGAAACCATATTTGTTCATATTTGATGCCATCTACAACACAAATAGAATCTTCAAAATAAGTTTTACTGTGAACATGATTGATGAGTCATAAAGCTTCCTTCCACTTCCAGGACCTGATCATTTTCCACCAGGGTCTTTGGTTTTTTTATTTTTCTGAAATGACCTCCTTTTATTTTTTAAATTTTTTTCTCTGTCCCTCATTCCTACTCTCCTTCATTTCCATTTTAGCTAAGTTTTTTTTTAGCATGTATTGTGTGCCAAGCACTGTTGTAGGCATTTGCCATTTATTTTTGTGTCACACAATCTTCATGACAAACATAAGAGGTAGGTATTCTTCTGGACTCTGTTTTTCACAATAAGGTAACTGAAGCAAGGAGTGGGTAAGCAAAATGTTCAGGGTGGCAGAGCCAAGGGTGGAGTCCAGGAAGCCTGGCTTCATTGCCATGTGCTTGAAAGGCTTACATCATCTCAACATGCCTTTTAGAACACTCTTTTTATGTGTCATTTGGAAACAAACAGAATAGTAACTCATTAGGTTAAAAAAATGAATGTGAGGGTTTTGATGTGTTTTTCTAATGCCATTTTAAGGACTGGAGTAGGGTACAGTATTGACAATGAGTATACTTTGGGTTTTTACAATGAAAGCTGCTTCTTACTCCTATGCTATTATCTGAGCATTGGCTTATCTACTCAAGTGACTGTTGGGTGACAAAGATGCTAAGTGTCAACCCAAGTGGAATAAGATTACCTTAACCAAGAGTTTATTGTAAAGGAAGGGGGCCAACAAATTCTCCCAAGATAGCCACTTTCATGTGCTGTTGTGAGAGATAAACTGGCTAGAATTTCCTTTCCTATGACTTGGGCCAAGTGGCCACAGATACATTTAAAAATAAGTAGTCCTGAGGCTGCAGAGATGACTCAGTAGTTAAATACATATATTACTCTTGTCAAGTACCTGAGCTCAGCTCCCAGGACCCAGCTCACAATCACCTGTAACTCCATCTCCAGGGGACCCAATGGTCCTTTGTGGACACATACATATACCCCCTCACAAGTACACATAGTTGAAAACAATGTAAATCTTGTTTAAAACCTACATGGTCATACAAGAAATTCTGCCAAGACCATGCTATGCAATTATAATAAAATTTAATGACACTTGGCATATCTGTACTGACGTCCCTTCAAAAGAATGGAAGTTTCAAGGAGGGAATAGTAGCTTAGAGGAGAAATTAAGACGATTTGAATCAGTGATGCATTGAATGCTCCTGCCTCATGTACTGAGTCTGTGAGACTTTTTGGTTGATTTTAATGCTAAGTGCTCACCATGAATTTTAACATTTTTTGTGACAAAGAAATGCATAATAATTTTGGGACCTCTGAACATGTTTTACCCATGAATAAATATTCTGACAGTCCATCAGATTGAATTGACCACCTGAGATCCCAAATACTCAGATAAATTCCCTATGAAAATAACCTAAACTCACACTAGGCCAAATATTTTTTTTCAGAGATGAAATTATGGAGAGGAAAAGATAAGCCTATTTTGCTGCAGTATTCTGGCTTTGCTTTGGCCAATTCAATGCTATCTATTTGTTTGGGAATTGAATTTAAAAAATAGAGTGCCAGATTGCTATTGAGGTCTTGGACCTTTGCCAGAAAGTCTCAGTTCCAATCACTATGGAAAACAATTCCCTTAGGCACTGGTGGCATATGAGACTAAATGTGTTGCAATGAGTGCCAACTTGGAAAAACCTAACACTGTCCTAATGTTCAGCTCATGGTGCCTTTGTGTTCAATAATCCTTGATTAAGAATGGATTAAACCAATTCATTTTATAGATACTTTTTTTGTGCCAAGTTGTGCCCAAAGCCCATTGCTACTGCTTGAATCCTGGCCACTTTTTGAACTCTTGTGTTTATAGTATGATATTTGAACGTTATTTTTAGATTTTTGTCAGGTAAAGTTAATGACCTCACTAATGGCCTGTCTTACATAAAAGGATAATAGAAACATCATGCCTACAAATCCATGTCTTCCCTGTTTTTAACACTCCAATGTATTGATGTTTAATTTGTGGGGACAGTCTTTTATCAAAGATAATGAATTTGATTTTATTTTGTTTGTTTTCTGTATCCAATAAAAACTTCCATAAAAGTGGAATCATTATTCTGGTAAAATGGGTATTTATAAATTATATTACCAAACATGCAATGTAGGTATAGCAAGCCACCTCTAAATGTTTTTATTTTATGTAGCATAAGAATGATCATAATGTCTCTCATTAACATTGAACAGTCTAAACAGGTTAATACCACCAACACTTTATGCTAGTGTGTGTAGTATATTAGCAATAATAAATCTCTTTCTGCTGGAAAAATTTTGAATAGCAGATACCCACTAGAACTAGTACTTAGAGATACTCAAGTGGTTTTTTCCAGGTAGTAACCAAACACCATTTTAAAGACTAGAAGTACCCCTTGGGAATATATTCTATTAGTATATTTGTTTATTTATTTTACTATCTTTTGAACTGTAGTATAAAACTCCTAGTCAACAATCTTAAGAAGTTAGTTTTGAGTATCTATAAATTGATAGAAAAAGCCAAGGTATTCCATGTTTTGTTTATATTTTAAAATATACTGTCCATTAATATCCTAGAGTTAGATGTGGGTTATAAGATATGGTTAGAATTATATTCACTGACAGGTTATAAGGGTATTTTTACTGGCTTTGTTAATATTGCTAATAAGACAAACATTGCATTTACTCTGTCTACTTGGAGATGTGTGTGAGTAATTGTACACATTCTTCAGGGTTGCTGTGCAGTGAAAAGCAAATACAGTGAACTCCCTCCAAACTATGGCTATCCCATGTATATTGGAATTCTGAGAACAAGGGGCTCCACTATATCTTCCTGAGCTTTTGTTTTTATTTTTTCATTTGTTGTTTGTTTTTTGTTTTGGTTTTGGTTTGGGTTTGGGTTTGGGTTTCTCTGTGTAGCTTTGATGCCTATCCTGGCACTCTCTCTGGAGACCAGGCTGGCCTCGAACTCACAGAGATCCTCCTGCCTCTGCCTCCCTAGTGCTGGGATTAAAGGCGTGAGCCACCAACGCCCGGCTTGTTATTTTTTAAAGACAGACTCTCACTGTGTAACCCATATTGGCCTTAAATTTGACATCCTCTTCCTTGAGTACTGGGATTATAGGCATGCACTGATACCTGACATTAGTGAACAGATTCCAGGTTTTTTTTTTTTTTATCACCGGAACATTGGCCCACTTTATGAATAGTACATATGCTCTGTTAGACATTTCTCTGTCTAAAGTCTCAACCAAAATCCAAAGTAATTTTTTAAACACAATTAGCTCTCAATAAAATTCTCTGCACTAATAAAACTCAAGAGTTTTACAAACTTACCTAACTTAATATAAATGAGTGGCATTAAACATTTAATGAATCTTGAATTGATCTGGTGTCATCACTATATAAGTGCTTACCCATGAATCCTCTTCTAGTTCTCCCACATTTTGTTTTCAAAGGGTATGTATCTATTGAAATAAGTATTAAAACAGACTACATGTTCTGTTCTATCTTTAATATTTATTGGGATTTTAGCAATTCTGAGACTCTGTTAAGTTGATATATGGTTAGGTAGTAAGGCCTAATAAAGCATCTCATTTCCAAAGGCAGTACTTGAAAAAGAGAATGCCTTACCAAAGCCGAAGAATTAAAATTAGACTCATAAAATATGAGACATATACAAAATAGACAGCTGTAAAGTACATCTCTGATTATCTTATTCTAGATGTTAGTTTTGCTAGAGTACCCACAGACATTATGCTCTTGATTCCATGTTGGGGGATTAATGCCAGGTCATGCCACGTTATTATGAAAAGGCTATCTTGATAGTTAACCCTCATTTAGTGGGCAAGCAAAGATGAATTCTCAGGATCCCCAAATCTTTGTACTACACGTAGGTCATATTATAATTAGGCTGCAGAGTAATTTGGAATGTAAAGTGGTTTTTTATTCTAAAGCTTTCTAATTCAAATGTGAACGGTGTACAAAAAGGTCAAATCAAGAGTTTATTTTTTAGCCCAAGTATAAGCAGAAAGAAAATGGTCATATCCTCCATAGTACACCCATTCTTCACAGTTTGAAGCAGTCAGTAAATGAAGAATCCATGTGATCATCAAGGTGACTTTGCTGGTAACGGTGATGGTAGTGGAGTAGGTGGTAGTGGTTTCAAAATAAAAATGTAGCAAATATAATTATAGTAAATACAACAAAGTGAGAAAGATGTATCCTATCACAAAGTTTTCTCTGTGATAGCAGCCTTGTGCTTGTTTATGGAGTTCCTTTGAGATGAGTTGAAAGGTTGAAATTGGGAAGTAGAATGCAGTGTTTCACTTTTTTTTTCCATCAAATGACACCAGTAGGCTGATCCAGCATTAAGCTGATACTAACACCATGTAATGCTTCATTAACAAGGCTTTGCTTCTTCCTGGAGATGGGTAAAAAATGGAACTGTGTTGTGTATAACTTCAATGCAGCTTCTGTGTTGTCTTTACCCTGAAACGGAAATGACTCCCCATAATGGCAATCAGGGGAACAATACCTGCACACTTTGTAAAGTCTTTCTTTCTCTTTGTTTTCCAGGACACAATGTAGGAAGCCTTTTCCACATGGCAGATGATTTGGGCAGAGCGATGGAGTCCTTAGTTTCAGTCATGACAGATGAAGAAGGAGCAGAATAAATGTTTTACAACTCCTGATTCCCGCATGGTTTTTATAATATTCGTACAACAAAGAGGATTAGACAGTAAGAGTTTACAAGAAATAAAATCTATATTTTTGTGAAGGGTAGTGGTACTATACTGTAGATTTCAGTAGTTTCTAAGTCTGTTATTGTTTTGTTAACAATGGCAGGTTTTACACGTCTATGCAATTGTACAAAAAAGTTAAAAGAAAACTACATGTAAAATCTTGATAGCTACATAACTTGCCATTTCTTTATATGGAACGCATTTTGGGTTGTTTAAAAATTTATAACAGTTATAAAGAAAGATTGTAAACTAAAGTGTGCTTTATAAAAAAAGTTGTTTATAAACCCCTATACACACACACACACACACACACACACACACACACACACACACACACACTGAGGCAGCACATTGTTTTGCATTATTTTAGCGTGGTATTCATATGGAATTCATGACTTCTTTTCTTTTCTTGCATATTAAAGATAGGACTTCCTCTAACAGCACCAAATGACTGCTTCACATTGCTCTTTTGAGAATTGTTGACTGAGTGGGGCTGGCTATGGGCTTTCATTTTATACATCTATATGTCTACAAGTATATAAGTACTATAGGTGTATAGATAAATAGATATGAAATTTCTTCTTCAAATGTTCTTGCCACTTCCTAATGGAAATAAATTGCTTCTAGTTGTCCAGGCTTATCTGCTTGGGCAAGAGTGAATTCTCCCTGGAGCCTGAAGTCAGGAGACTACTATCATGCTAAAATATTGTCTAGGGCTCCAGATGTTTCTAGTTTTAATCTTTCCACTGACAACTAGAGCTTTGAATTTTTTTAAGGAACATGTGAATGAATACACAGGACTTACTATATCAGAGTAATCTGTTGGTTGATATATTCAGCTTCCTGCTGCTGGCTATGCCATGATTTAGATTCAATGATGTTTCTGCAAAAGAGCATCAGAAGGCATTCTTCACTCCTGGACAATAGGAGGAAGATGGTGGAGGCTGAGGATTGTGACTCCCCAGTCAATCTCTGTGAGGGGAGCAGCTACTCTGTAAAAGAGTGGATGAATATTCACAACTATACATACAAACATCTCTGTTCTCTATAATCACAACTGAATTGTTCTGCCCACTTCTTACACTCAAACTGAAGTGGGTAGTTTTGTTGTTGTTGTTGTTGTTGTTGCTGTTGTTGTTGTTGATGATGATGATGATGATTTTTAGATTTTAGATTTTGTTTTTCCATTGTGATGAGTTTTTTTTAATGCTGCAAGACTTAAGATTATTGGTAAGAAAGTAACCCAATCACATTGTGACCCTGGTGAATATCAATCCAGAGACCCATGAACTGCATTTGTTTCCTTTGCATTGGTTTCCCTGCAAGTAATTCCATACAGAATTGTGAGTTCAGGAAGGTACAATTTGAAAGTTTCAAGAGCAAAAGCCTCTCCAAACCGTCTGGTAAATTTGACAGGCTAAATCATAAACAAATGCAGGTCATTGAAAAAGAGGAGAAAAGGTGAAGATGAAAGCTAAGGACTGGTAGGAAAAGCTTTACTTACTCTTTCATGTCATTGTATTATGATATCATTTAAAAATCATTCTTTCAATAGAAATCACTGTCCCATTATTTTGCAAATTTGTTACCTCTAACATCCAGTGTAATTAACTTTTAGAGAGTTTTTTTGTCCATTATTAATTGTAATTAACATCAAACACAGCTTCTCATGCTATTTCTACCTCACTTTGGTTTTGGGGTGTTCCTGGTAATTGTGCACACCTAATTTCACAGCTTCAACACTTATCTGTTGTGTGGACACCATTATCCTTTTTTCTTTTTCATTTCCAAAAGAAAACCCAAAGCTCTAAGGTAACACATTGAGATTTGGTCTTGCATTATTTTTCTCTTTTATGTGACGCTGGACATTTTCTTTACCCAAGGGTTTGTTTTAACCAAGATTTAAAGCAAGGGGTTACTTTACATCCTACTAAGAAGTTTTAAGTTTCATTCTAAAATCAGAGGTAGATAGAGTGCATAATTTTGTTTTAATCTTTTTATTCTATCTTTTAGATATTAGTTCTGGAGTGAATCTGTCAAAATATTTGAATAAAAGCTGAGAGCTTTATTGCAGAGTTTAAGCATAATTTGGACATCATTTCGTGTTCTTTATAACCACCAAGTATTAAACTGTAAAATCATAATCAATGTAACTGAAGCATAAACATCACATGGCATGTATCATCATTGTTTCCAGGTACTGGATTCTTACTTGAGTATCATAATATGTTGTGTTTTAACACCAACACTGTAACATTTACTAATTATTTTTTTAAACTTCAGTTTTACTTCATTTTCACAACATATCAGACTTCACCAAATATATGCCTTACTATTGTATTATATTACTGCTTTACTGTGTATCTCAATAAAGCACGCAGTTATGTTACAAAAAAAAAAAACCTGTTTGTTGGAATGTAGTACTTTGATTTTTCTTTTTAGTTACTTCAATTCTTTCTGTATTTTTTTGAGGTTGGGGACCAGGGGTGTCTCACTGTGTTGCCTGGACTGACATTGAATTCCTGGGTTCAAGTGATCCATCCTGCCTTAGTCTCTGAAACTGCTGAGACTACAAGTTCATGCCCTGATTTATTTTATTTCTAAACATGTAACACATCAATGTGTTCAAAAACTCTTAAGATATGTGTGTGTGTGTGTGTGTGTGTCTGTGTGTGTGTGTGTGTGTGTGTACACATATATATGTTATAAATAGAGCTTACATTTAACTACATACGTGTGTGTCAGTTACATAAAAGCAGAAGAGGAACTATTTTGGGGAGAAAGGGGACCACTGAGGGGAAAGGATAGATGAGTGAAAGAATTTGAGCAAGGTACAATGATAATGTATGCATGACAGTGTTTTAGGAGTTCTGTTGCTTTGAAGAGACACCATGACCACTGCAACTCTTATAAAGGAAAACACATAATTGGCGTGGCTTAGATTTTCAGAGGTTTGGTCCATTATCATCATAGTGGACAATGGTGGCATGCAGACAGACATGGTGCTTGATCTAAAGACAACAGGAAGTGAACTGAGACACTGGGCATAGTTTGATCATATATGAGACCTCAACACCCGAATGCACAGTGACATACTTCCTCCAATGTGGCTAACAAAGCTACAGTTCCTAATAGTGCCATTCCCTATGAGCTATGGGGGCAATCTCATAATTAAAGCCATTATTTATGTACTAAAAAGAAACAACTAAAAATCCAGGCATCGTGGTGCAGATCTGTAATATTAGCTCTCAAAAGGCAGAAGTAGGAGGATCACTTAACACCAAGGCCAGGAAAATCTATGTAAGGAATCTCAGGCCAGCCAAGGCTACATAGTCAGATACTGTCTCAAGAAAAAAAAAAAAAAAAAAAAAACAAAAACAAAACCA